GGAGATTCTATAAGAGCTACTTGGAAGCCCGTGACAATGTTAGATTTAGGGAAACTCAAGGAAGCTGCCCATTCACCATTTGTGAAGTAGATGTTAAACATGTGGTCAGTTTTTAGTAGGGTTGAAGATGGTGTTTTCCGTCCCACCTGATTCCACTGCTTATTTGCCCCAAATAAGCACACATAGACATACTAATTATTAAATTGTTGGTTGATGGCATAGACTTTGTATTTGCCAGCTCTGTCTTAATTATTAACACATTTCTATTAATCTATGCATTTTCACATGGTCTTGGCTTATCAGAGAATGCCTGAACATGTTAATCATTTGGTTGCTACATGGTGTCTCTCTGCCTCCCCTCTCTGATTTCCTCTCACAGCCATCTCCTGATCTCATAGCCCCTTCTATGCATCCTGCCTGGCTATTAGCCAAACAATGTTTTATTCATCAACTAGGAAGAGAAACATATATACAGGAGGACATCCTCCATCAAAGGGTTATCCCTTTATAGTGAATAGATTTGCTAATAGTTGTCCTAGAGCCTGATCTACAATTAATATGGGTTTCATGGTTCAGAAAAGAGGCTAAGAATATTGAATCAAAGGTTAAAGCAAGAGGTATGGATATCTCCCAAGATAAACTTCTTGGAGAAGGAGATTATGCTACTTTAGAAACTCAATGTCAGTATGATGAACATCTCTTGGGTTTAATCCACACAGCATCTTTGAATGCTTGGGATAAAATTGAAGAAGCAGAAAGAAAATTGAATCGTTTACAAAAGTCATACAGGGCCCAAAAGAAGCATTCATGGATTTAAGCAGTAAATAGAATATCAGATTCAGAGCAGCATTTCTTTTAACAATTGTTACTATTTCCTCAGCAGTCAAACAATACAAAGACAACACAATACCATACAATATCTAGATTCTCTCTGTGCTTTCCATCTTTTTTATTACTGTATTTTTCTTATACTTCTATTTATTCATTATCACAGGTATCTGTTTGCCTCTACCTAGAATTAAAGGCATATGCCACCACACCCAGCTACTCTCCATTTTTCTTAAATGACTTTATCCTGCTTTTTTTTTCTCTCTCAAGCCTATGCATATTTTGAAACACACTGTAAAACTTTAGAGGTTTTTCTTTATCTGAATCTGTCTTTATTGTAAATCTTTATCTTTTTCTGACCACGAGTGTTTTATCTGCTAACCAACATTGCTAAAATTAAAGCCATAGCTGTATTAGCCTAAGTTTTTCAAAGATGGCATGGGTACATTTACCATCAGAACTGAGAGCTGTGCTCACTGTCTTGGTCTGTGCTACCATCCAGCAGCATGCTGCCAGCTTGGAGATGTGGTCACTGCCATTGCCAGCTGTTAGACACACCATTAAGTTGTTAGCAGAGCTCTTTAAAAGGGTTGTGTTTTTTACCTCCATAATGTCAGGAAACCCCCCTTAAAGGAGCCGTGCAAATCTCTGCTTGTCTTGAGCAAAACAGAGTCCAACCAAGAAAAATGCTGCTACCAAGAGGCCTTGCTTGTCTCTGTTGTTTTGTTTATAAAACCCCTTTTTAAGCTTTTGTTAAGTTTTAAGTGAAAGTTCTGGTGCCCCACAGTGCAGGCGCCATTTTGTTATGAGTTGTTTTCCCAGTCAGCCTGGTCTCACATCCGCACCAGCCCCAAATAAAACACAGAGACGCTGTATTAGATATAAAGCTGTTGGCCTGATACTAGCATTTCTTATTTGTTAGCTCTGTCTTAAATATTAATCCATTTCTATCAATCTAAGTATTTCCACGTGGTCTTATCTTACCGGAGAGAGGGCCGGGGACCTCTGTTCTCTCAAGTGTCTACACTGTGAATCTCTCCTACCACTCCCCAAATCCTCCTTCTCTCCTAGTCCTGCCTAGCTTGCTTTCCTATTGGCCAACAGGGCTTTATTCACTAATCAATATGATAAACATATTTACAGAATGACATCTCCCATCAGACACCCTCTTCTGGCCTCCACTGGTACCTAGCATGCACTTGGTATATTCATTGACAAACTCAGTTTATTAGGCTTAGCCACACCAACTTTACCAACTGAGAAAATTCTCTGACATCCATTTGTGGTTCTTAGAAAGTGTTTTATTATGAACAAATGTTTAGTTCCCAGAATAACACATTTCGAAAAAAAAAAAAAAAAAAAAAAAAAGAAAGAAAGAAAGAAGAAAACAGAAAAAGCAGAGAGACATAGTGCACCATTTTTATTTGCAAATAGGATCTATTGTTCATATTGTCTTATTTTCTTCTGTACTTTGTTGAAAACATGTTTACAAGCTGAAAAAAAAAAGGCAACATTTTTCTTCTGTAATGTCTCGGCCAATCAGTGAGACAGCTCAGTGGGAAATGTCTATGGTGTGCAAAGTTGGTAACCAAATCTTGATCATCATATGAAATAGCCAAAAGTAGACTCCACAATGAATTTTATGGTCTCCACATATCTGTCATGGCTTAAAACCCCCATAATCACATTACACACACATACAATAGAATTTCTCTTCAAATAAATCTCATTGATGATACATTATCTGGCAACTCTGGGGACATGAAGATGCATGGATATCCGTAGGTCATCAAGCTATACTATGAAATATACAGTTGATTATTCTACATTACTACATATCTAACAGTTAGACAAAAAATGTTTGGATACACACATGAGGCTTTTAATGTTTCTTACATTTTCTTCTATTAGGAGGCATTACTTGGAGATGAATTGCCAAATGGATAGCTAACGGGGACAGAAATATTCATGGAACTTCAATATATACATATCTGTAGGTCATCAAGCTATACTGTGAAATATACAGTTGATAACTGGTTATTCTACATTACTACATCTCTAACAGTAAGATGAAAATGTCTGGATGCACACTTGAGGTATTTAATGTTTCTTACATTTTCTTCTATTAAGCATGTTAACATTAACTGATGGGGATGTTCGTCTGAATATATGTTTTTCTTATTGGTTAATGAACAAAACACAGTTTGGCTAGTGGCCAGGCAGGAAGGATAGGCAGGGCTACCTGACCAGAAGAAGGCTGGGAGAGGAGACAGAGAGAGGTGAGATAGAGATGTCATGCTGCCAAAGTAGTAACATGCCACAGCCTCATGGCAATACATAGATTACTAGAAAAGGGTTATTAATTAAGAGAGAACTAGTCAGTAAGAAACCCTAGCCATCAGCCAACAGTTTAATAATTAGTGTGTGTGTGTGTGTGTGTGTGTGTGTGTGTGTGTGTGTGTATGTGTGCTTATTTGGGGCTAAACAGTTGTGGGACCAGACTGAAAAGAAACTCAGGCAACAATTAACTTTGTTAACATGTGTTGACAAAACAGTAAATGTTGAGGTATATCATCTAGCCTAGGACTTATACTCAAGAAACTGACACATGAGGATTATGAGTTCAAATGCATCCCTAATTATTACTGACACACAAGCCAGGCAGATAATATCTCAAGAGAATTTGTGAAAATGTGAAAAACAAAACCAGGAACAGCAACCCATCACCCTTTCACAGACACACTTACTTGAAAAGCATGATTATACACTGCATGATATTTAAATAAACAACAAACCACTTAGATGATGGGCATCTCATTTTAAATATTTTGGTAGAAAAAATACTCTCACTAAATGAAAGCACAATAGAAGATGTACAAAGGCTACAGAAGAAATATAAGGATCACAAAATAAACTTCACTAAATGGATTTGCCAAACATAGCACACTTTAATATCTAATTCAAATACTGCAAAATAGAAACTACAATGCAATAATCTCCACATTGTAAATAACTTCCTTATTATGAAAAAGACATGAAACAATTTTTATTTTCAGAAACTAAAGACAAGTATGATGTCTAAATTTTTTACCAAATTGTTTACATGAGTACGTTTTTTTATTCCATGAGTTCTTCCCTATTACCTGATATCAAGATGATGCAAAAAGGATTTAAAATATGTACAGGGTTAGACAGATGGGTGAAGAAAATTATGACAAGTTCAATGCCAAGACCTAGGTCAGGATTTTGAGGACGTTCTGTAGTTCCTGCTACAAGAATACACAAGGGTCTAAACTTCTTGGAAACAAGCATAAACATTCACAAACCCACACACAGATATCACATAATTAAAATTAAATCAAGTCTTTAACCAAACATATTTTCACACATGAATATTTTCTGTTGTAAGCACTCATTTCTGTAACCTAGGTGTTGAGGCATTTAAAGTCTTAACTGTTTTCCTTCATCTTAAGTTGGTTCATGTAACAGAAAGGAAGCATGTAGGAGTGAATTTAGAGAAATCAATCTGAATAAGGTTTTTATGTAATTAAAGTGTGAAGTCAAAAAGTCCTATGTATCAATAAATACATAGGACTTTTGTCCATATGAATTTGCAGGTGAAAATAAAATAGAGACATCATAATGTTTGAACAGATTGTTGACACTTGTCAGATTTTTTTCTCTCCAGAATCTTGTATACTAAATGTGTGTTGGCTGATGAGCTTACCAAATCCTTTATAGTTAAGATTCCCTTCAGTATTAATTTTCTCATGTCCTTAAAGTGATTGTGGTATGCAAAGGGCATAACTTCACCACACTGCTTATATTTATAGGGTTTCTTTGCAATGTGATTTTTTTTCATAATTTTAAAGGTTGATGTTACATACAAAGGCTTTACCACATTGATTACATTCACTGGGTCTCTCTCAGGTATGTGTTCTTTCATGACTTGAGAGAGTGCTGTAATGTGAAAAGGCTTTACCACATTGACTACATTCATAGGGTTTCTCTCCAGTATGTGTTCTTTTATGTGTTTGGAGACTACTGACATGTGAAAAGGCTTTACCACATTGACTACATTCATAGGGTTTCTCTCCAGTATGTGTTCTTTTATGTGTTTGGAGACTACTGACATGTGAAAAGGCTTTACCACATTGACTACATTCATAGGGTTTCTCTCCAGTATGTGTTCTTTTATGTGTTTGGAGACTACTAACATGTGAAAACACTTTACCACACTGATTACATTCATAGGGTTTCTCTCCGGTATGTGTTCTTTTATGTCTTGTAACACCCCCATGACTTGCAAAAGCTTTACCACATTGATTGCATATATAGGGTTTCTCTCCAGTATGTGTTCTTTGATGTACTCGGAAATTACTGAGCTGTGAAAAGGCTTTACCACATTGATTACAGTTGTAGGGTTTCTCTCCAGTATGCGTTCTCTTATGTACTTGAAGATGAGAGTGATGTGCATAGGCTTTACCACATTGATTACATTCATAAGGTTTCTCTCCAGTATGTGTTCTCGTATGTCTTTTAAGATTGTTGTGACATGTAAAGGATTTACCACATTGATTACATGTATAAGGTTTCTCTCCAGTATGTGTTCTTATGTGTCTTTGAAGTTGACCATGATTTGCAAAAACTTTATCACATTGATTACATTTAGAGGTTTTCTCTCCAGTATATGTTCTTTTATGTTTTTGAAGATGGCCATGAGTTGCAAAAACTTTACCACCCTGATTACAGTCATAGGTTTTCTCTCCAGTGTGTGTTCTTTTATGAAGTCGGAGACAACTGTTACATGCAAAGACTTCATGTTGAATACTTTCATATGGTTTCTCTCCAGTATGAACTTTTTCATGTTTTTGAAGATACCTGTAATATGCAAAGTTTTTAACACATTGAATATATTCACAGAGTTTCTCTCCTGCAAAGATAATTGGCACATTTACAAGCTTTACCACATGCATTATACTGATGAAACTTAATATCTGTATGAATTAATTTTATAATTTGGCCTAACTATAAAGAGGAGTCAGATCTTCAGATTTAAATTCTTGATGTTTCCCTTCATTAGAGATTATTTAATGTCTTTGGAAATACCTGTGATAGATAGTAAGAGACTTTATTTCATGGCCCACATTTAGGGCATCTTTTTATGTGAGATTTTTCACATATTTGAAAAGAACTGGAGGAACTTGGAGCTTTGCCATTGCATTCCTAAGTTTTCCTATAGTGTGAGTCATACTACATTGGCAAAATGTACCGGGACAAATGGAAGTAGCCTTACATTCCAATGCTCATAGGGCTTTTCTGCAGTGAGTTTGTTGATGTCCTTCCAATGAATTTGCAAAACCAATTAATTGTAAACTTATATCACATTCAGCAAATCTACTCTAAGTGGGAACTACTAAATATCTTTCATATCTTCTCATTGTCCTGAGAGAGCTACATTGCTTCTTTCCATATTCTATGCTCACATGGCTTGCATTCAGAGTGACATATGATACTCTTTTTTTTTTTTTTTTCTTGATATTTTAAGACAACATTTCTCTCTGTATCTTTAGAGCCTTCCACTTGCTCTATATACCAGGCAGGCTTCCAACTCACAGAGATCCACCTGCTTCTGCCTCCTGAATGCTGGAATTAAAGGCATGTGCCATGCTCAGGTCAACATATGATATTCTTACTAAAGGAAGAATAACTAATAAAAGGTTTCCACATTGTCAGATTTGACTACTGCTGTGTGAAAATTTAGAAAAAAAAAATGTTTCCACATTGCATTCACACAGTTTTACTTTCTTTTCTTCACAGACATGTGATATAGGGTTTAAGGTTTCTCCACAACAACCTTCTCAATTCTCATAAACTTTCAATATACTTAGCAAAGTCACAAATATATGAGTAATGCCAGCTTTACTATAAACTCTTTTTTCTTAGAAGTTCTTAGACATATGCTTATCACTTATTCAATGTTTATACCATTTAAAACATCTGAGTGGTATGAACCTAAATGGATTGGCATTTCTACAGCATAGCTCTCATGGGGCTATAATTCAAATGGTGGTATCTGTTAAGGCATTGCTTCCTTGTCTTCTTTTTTCACAAGGATGCCTTGCAAACACAGAATAGCTACCTGACATTGAGGTAGATACATGGTTTTGTGAGAAATTAAGAATCATCAATATACTTTAAGCTGTGCTTAATTATATTGTTGCTTTTCTTTAAAATTTCCAGGACACATTAAAATTTCTTCAGAGGCAAATTTGTATAAACTTGCATATGAAAATTACCTTCTATGTCTTCTAGAACTTTGACAATATTCTTCAATATTATGGTCTTCCCAACTGTAGCCTAAAATATAATACCAGAAAATATTTGATATATTATTGGAAACTGTACAAAATTTAAATTAATATCTTCAATGAACCTTAGAACTATGCCTTATTCACCTAATTTTCCCTTTTCTCAATCAAAATTACAGAGGAGTATCAATCAATAACCAAGAAACAGTTGTCCCCTTACTTTAAAACATGAAGGAAAATTCAGTATTACCTATAGCAGTAAGGTTCCTGTAGGTCTCTAGCATCACATCTTTGTAGAGTTTCTTCTGTGAAGGTTTCAGCAAAGCCCACTCTTCCTTTGTGAAGTTGATGTATACATCATCACAGGTAACTGCATTCTAAAATAACCCATACATGTGTAAACCAGGAAGTATGATACCAACATTGTAAATGTATACTGTTTTGACAATATATTTATATAATTCTGGTGCTTTCCACACTTATTTCATGACATGGACATTATAATGTATTCACCAAGTCACTTTAGAAGGAAACTGAATACGAGGTTCACATGTACCATTTCTTGGCCCTTTAAATAGCATATAGCCTTGAGAAAGGAATCCCAATGAACAGAAATAAAGGGAGAAACAAGGAAGCAGATCAACACTACTGAGAACAAATCAGAGAAATTACATGATAGGGCCAGCCTATCATAGAAATACCCCAGTCCCTGGACCAACTTTTGTCTTAGTTAGGTTTTTATTGCTGTGAAGAGACCCCATGACTATGGCAACTCATAAAGGAAACATTTAATTGAGGCATCTCACTTAAAATTTCAGAGGTTCAGTTAATTATCATCATTGCAGGGGGCATGGCAGCATGCAGGTAGATGTGGTACTGAAGGTTAGAGCCCTTACATCTTGACTCAGAGGTAACAGGAAGTTGACTGACACACTGACAGCATCCTGAGTATAAGAAACCTCAATGCAGAACCCCACAGTGACTTACTTCCTCTGACAAGGAAAAGCATGCTCCAACAAAGCCACACCTCCTATTAGTGTCATTAGTGGAAGCTCACAGACTATGGACTGCCAGCTGGGAAACCTTCATGGGACCAAACTAGACCCTCTGAATGTGGGTGATAGTTACGTGACTTGATCTGTTGGGGGTCCCCTGACAATGAAACCAGGATTTATCCCAGGTACATCAACTAGCTTTTTCAAGTGTACTCCCTATGGTGGGATACTTTGCTCAGTCTTGATACAAGATGGATTGGCTTGGTCCTTCCTCAACTTGGTATGCCAGACTTTATTAACCCCCCCAAAGAAGGCCTTACCCCCTCTGAGGAGTGGGTGGGGGATGGGAAGGGAGAGAGGTAGGGGGCAGAAGATGAGAAGGGAGGGGAACTGGGGTGGGTATTAAAATGAAAACTAAATTTTTAAAATAAATTTAAAAAGAAACAGTGTATGATTTGTATTATGCACCTAAAGTGACTTTTTTTTTTGCTCTCATTGCTTTATAAGTAACAAGAATTTTGAAAACAAGTTTATCCAAATTGTTGTATATGTTTGCATGTGAGAGAGGTTTTCCATGTGTGTATATGTGACATACCAGAGAAGAGAGTGTCAGATACCCCAGATCTGGAGTAGCAGGTAGTTTGGCTATTGGGATCTGAACTCATCATCACTAAGTGTACTGAGCCACCTACTAAGCCCCATAGTAAAGTCTTTCACAGATTAAAAACAACAAGAATAAAAGAGACTAAATAAGTAAGTAAAATAATCATTGGTAATTTGATGCATCAACATTAAGATACTGTATAAGGTTAATTTGCAACAAGAATTGAATACAGCCCAAAGAAAATTCCCAACAATTTATAACAGGTTATCTGATTCCAAAGCTATATGCAAAGTGGAAACAGATAGAATTCTGAAGAGCATTACAAAAAAAAAAAATAGTACACACATTTGCCACAGACCACCCTAGCCAGGTATGGAAGTCCCTGGGATGAGGGTTCTTGAAGACTAGGTGGGTAAGGATTCAGCAGTGACAAATAGAAACAAATACACAGGCAGTTTGAATCTGAGAGTATTTTGCAGTTCTCAAGCAACTTTTTTTTTTTTTATAGAAATATTTTCTCAGTTGATGCTTTTGTTAAGCAAACCCAAATATATGACATTATTGTTACTTGGCACAGCAGCACAGAAATCCAAAACATGAAATCATCCAGTTAATCAAAACACAGAATTGTCCTTGGTTAACACAAAATCATCCAAGGCTAACCACATATTTCTTAATTCAAATTAATATATCTTTATGGTCAATTATTGTTTAACATCTATTACCTGGTTCTTGTGTGTTTTTGAAATACTGAGCTATTTTAACTCTTTCTTATTAAAAGCTTTCTTTACCAAGCCTACTCTCAATGACAGCCATATAAGATTTTATTGTTGGGAAAGCTTTTACTCTTTGTACTTAGGTGAATGACGCGAATGATTTGAAAAATGCTGGGTTTTCTGGAGATGAGGTCATAGCTAGAGACCCCATCTCAGGGTATAGTTTCTTATCTATATCTCTCACTTGAAATGTCAGTGTAGGCTTTCAGGAACATTTTTTTAATATGAAAAATGAATAGGAGAGAGCCTCTACGTGCGCCGCAGCCCCTCAGCCCGGTCCCGGTGTCGGATGTGAGAGCCCGTGGCTAAGTGATTAATAAACATACTGAAAGAATATGGCTGCACAGATATTGTAGGTTCCTGGGAACCTACAATAGACTTACAGAAAACTGCTTTTTGGACTGTGTTAAAGACTTCACAACGAGAGAGGTGAAACCTGAAGAGGTTACCTGTTCAGAACATTGCTTACAGAAATATTTAAAAATGACACAGAGAGAGGAGCCAACAGTCCACCCTACTTCAGAGACTCCTTGGAGCAACTCTGAACAAAGGAGACCTGCCTATCCACGCGGGACCACCCGTAATTTCCACCTGCTTGGTCTCTGACCCCACCTCCAGTCCTTTGCTGGAGTCCTGGGCCCCTCCCAGAGATCCGCCTATCTCTGCGGGTCCACTCTGAGTTCCTGCCGGCAAGATCCTTGACCCCCATATCTGTGCCTCTGCTAATAAAAGAGGCCTCAGCTGGAGAGTCCCAGTTTCCAGTGAGATCCCACTATCCTGCAAAACCTTTCCAAATTTCAGCTCAGGCTTTGTCTTCTTCTGCCAGCCATTGGCTAGAGCCATTGGCTAGTGGCATCTTCTACTGGATCCTCAGCCCTGACCCCATCCCTGGGTCCCTGACTGTGGAGAGACCTCCTTTAGAGCTTGGACCACCCAGAGCTACAGATATTGAATCTCTGACCCACATAAGCCCACCAGGAAAGTACCATAGAGAGAAGGGGAGACCCCACCAACACCTACTGAAAGAAGCTATGGGAAGACGGCAATACAGGAAAACACCTAACAAGAGAAAGACAAGCATGATACCACCAGAATCTAGGGAATCTATAACAACTAGAACGGAACACAACAACAAGGCAGAGGAAGCAGAAGGGAACGACTTAAAAAATTACCATCATAAAAATGATAGAGGCCCTCAAAGAAGATGTGAGAAAATCCCTTAAAGAAATGGAGGAAAAAACAAACAAAAAAGTGGAAGAAATGAACAAATTCCTTAAGGAAAGTACAGAAAGCCAAGAAAAAACAATTAAGCAGGTGAAGGAAACGGTTCAAGAGTTGAAAACTGAAATTGAGAAAATAAAGGCAATACAAACCGAAGGAATGCTGGAAATAGAAAAACTGGGCAAACAATCGGGAACTACAGACACAAGCATAACCAACAGAATTCAAGAGATGGAAGAGAGAATCTCAGGCGCAGAAGATAAACTAGAAGAAATAGATTCATCGACCAAAGAAAATCATAAATCCAACAAATTCTTAACACAAAACATACAGGAAATGTGGGACACCATGAAAAGGCCAAACCTAAGAATAATAGGCATAGAGGAAGGTGAGGAAGCCCACCTCAAAGGTGCTGAAAACATATTCAACAAAATCATTGAGGAAAACTTTCCAAATCTGAAGGACATGCCCATGAAAGTACAAGAAGCATACTGAACCCCAAATAGGCTGGACCAAAGGAAAAAGACCCCTCGACATATAATAATCAAAACACCTAGCATACAGAATAAAGAAAGAATATTAAGAGCAGCGAAGGAAAAAGGACAGGTAACATATAAAGGCAGACCTATCAAAATTACATCTGACTTCTCCATGGAAACCCTCAAGGCCAGAAGGTCCTGGTTAGATGTTCTAAAAGTATTAAGAGAACAAGGATGCCAGCCTAGGTTACTATATCCAGCAAAACTCTCAATCACTATAGATGGAGAAAACAAGATATTTAATGACAAAACCAGATTTTCCCAATACGTATCTACAAATCCAGCCCTACAGAAAGTATTGGAAGGAAAACTCCAACCCAAGGAAGGTAACTACACCCACAAAAATGTAGGCAACAGATAATCCAACTACACCAGAAACCAAGGGTAAAGCAGAACTAATATATTCACAATACCACTGCCAAAAACAAACCTAAATCAAACAACCATCAACAATCAATGGTCCTTACTCACCCTCAACATTAATGGTCTTAACTCACCTATAAAAAGACACAGGCTAACAGAATGGATATGAAGACAGAATCCATCCTTCTGCTGCATACAAGAAACACATCTAAGCTTCAAAGATAAACATTACCTCAGGGTAAAGGGTTGGGAAAAGATTTTCCAGTCAAATGGAAATAAGAAGCAAGCAAGCGTAGCTATCCTAATATCTAACAAGTTAGACTTCAAACCAAAATTAATCATTAGAGATGAAGATGGTCATTTCATATTCATCACAGGAGAAATCCATCAACACAAAGTCTCAGTTCTGAACATCTATGCCCCTAATACAAAGTCACCCACATTCGTAAAAGAAACACTACTAAAAGTCAAAGTTCATATAAAACCTCACACACTTATAGTGGGAGACTTCAATATACCACTCTCAACACTAGACAGGCCCACAAATCAGAAACTCAACAAAGAAACAAAAGAACTAACAGAAGTTATGTCTCAACTGGGGTTAACAGACATCTATAGAACATTCCATCCAAAGACAAAAGAATATACCTTCTTCTCTGCTCCACATGGAACCTTCTCTAAAATCGACCACATACTAGGTGGCATAACAAACCTCAACAGATACAAGAGAATAGGAATAGTCCCCTGTATCTTATCAGACCACCATGCTTTAAAATTGGAATTCAACAACAACACAAATAGCAGAAAACCTGCAAACTCATGGAAACTGAACAATGTGCAATTGCACCACTCCTGGGTCAAAGAAGAAATAAAGAAATTAAGGACTTTCTAATATTCGACGAAAATGAGGACACAACATACCCGAACTTATGGAACACCTTGAAAGCAGTGCTACGAGGGAAGTTCTAAGTGCCCATATGAAGAAAACAGAGGATAGTCACATAAGAGTATTAACAGCGCAACTGAAAGCCTTAGAACAGAGAGAAGCGACCTCACCTCATAGGAGTAGATGCCAAGAAATAATCAACTTGAGGGCTGAAATCAACATAATAGAAACCAGGAAAACAATACAAAAAAAAAAATCAATGCAACGAAGAGTTGGCTTTTTGAGAAAATCAACAAGATAGACAAACCTTTATCCAAATTAACGAAAAAGCAGAAAGAGAACATGCAAATAAACAAAATCAGAAATGAAAATGGGAACAATGGACACAGAGGAAATCCAGACAATTTTCAGGTCATACTTTGAAAATCTGTATTCCACGAAAATTGAAAGTTCAAAGGAAATGGAAAAATTTCTGGATAACTATCACTTACCAAAATTAAATCAAGAACAGACAAACAACTTAAATAGACCTGTAACCCGCAATGAAGCAGTCATCAAAAGCCTTCCAACCAAAAAAAATCCAGGGCCAGATGGATTCAGTGCAGAATTCTACCAGACATTCAAGGAAGAACTAATACCACTACTCCTCAAACTGTTCCACAAAATAGAAACAGAAGGTTCATTGCCAAACTCTTTTTATGAGGCCACAATAACTTTGGTACCTCAGCCTCACAAAGACACAACTAAGAAAGAAAACTACAGACCAATATCCCTGATGAACATTGATGCAAAAATACTCAATAAAATACTGGCAAACCGAATTTAAGAATACATCAGAGAAATCATCCACCATGACCAAGTAGGCTTCACCCCTGGAATGCAGTGATGGTTTAACATATGAAAATCTATCAACTTGATCCACCATATAAACAAACAGAAAAAGAAAAACCATATGATTATCTCCCTATATGCTGAAAAAGCCTTCGACAAAATTCAACACCCTTTCATGACAAAGGAATGTTTACTTAGATGGTAAGAGGTTACCTCCCCTTTTCTGAGAGTGGGCTCAGGCACCAGCCCTGGCACTCCCGACTTAAGGAGTTAATTTTCTTTTATCATTAGAAGTTTCCTTCCTCTGTATAGATTTAAGGCCTAAGTTTTCAAGCTTTAATTAATTATAACGTTTGGTCCATCCGATTTTGCTCAGTTTTTAGAAAAAAATTGATAATCAGTTTATAGACATTACAATTTGTACTAATACATCCTTTTGTATTCC